CGTGCAAGTAGATAGCCTTGTTGGTCTTGCCAGTGAAAAGCGAATATCATTACTATTGAACACGCTATCGTCGGCTGGATGCTCAACGTCGACAACAGAGCTCTTACAATCCTGGGTGAAATTCAGCAACGCTATGCGACCAGAAGCAATGGATATTGTAAAACTAATTATTTATGGAGACGACGTACGAATCAAAATCCGTTGCAGGATTGTTAAAACTACAGTAGCTGTTATTTTGAACGATAAACGCCAAGAAGAAATTGTTGTAAGGACAATTATAATTATTTTGTATGCGTTTTAATTACTATAATTATTATCATTATAATTATTATTAAATATGGCATTATTTATTATTGTTATTATTATCCTTAACATTATTGTTCATTATTGTTATTATATTATTGTTCTTATTATTGTAAATATTATGATTATTATTAACATTATAGCTATCATCATTATCATTATTGTTAATTTTGTTACTTATATTATTTTTGTTATTGATATTGTTATTTTTTTTTATTACTGTGAGTTATTTTAGGACCATTATGACTATTATTATGATTGTGATTATATTTTATTGTTATTGTTATATATTAATTTCATATTTTTAATTTAATATTCAATATATAAATAAGCAACGACAAGTTAAACAACAAAATCAGCGAAAAGCGTTGACTATAGAACATAAAGTTTATTTTGTTTTCTTTTTCTAAAATATATCTTCATTTATGCATTAATTAATTAATTGCATTAACTGTCTTTTTCCACTACAGTTTGAAGTTGATGAAATCAACAAACGTACGATGGCTCGATTAATAATCTGGCTATGTGGCAATGAAGGTAGCAGCCACACGAAAGAACAGGCCACACTCAGGCGACTAATTCAAGCCTGTATAAGTTTACTGGAGAAACAAAATAACAGGTGTTGGAAAGACACGAAAGTGTCTCTATATGGGCAAGATGCTACGTCATTCCATGTTTTAGCGGGAAAATCTCTTGACCCCATCCATATTGTAGGATTTGTTAAGTCGACAGGTGAATTCCAGATTGTTGAGAGGCATAACAGTTTTTGTATAATTTTATAATTTAAACGTTTGTGAACAATGGACTTTTTCGCTAAGCCTTGGATATTGTTGCAAGGTCCCACAAAGCGACAGTGTTAAAACCAGGGGTCTCGCCAGCT